CAATCAACGAGAAAAGAGAAACTGATGGAAGGACAAAGTCTTCGCTTTAGGTGTATATCGGCTTGTTCCTTACGGGGTATGAAGGAATGTCAGTGCGATGCGGAAGAAGACAACTACTGCTATTTATGCTGCGGTAACGCGGACCATCAGTGCCTTCCCGCTCACCACCACAATATTTTAAGGTAAAACATGGATTTTTTCCTATTTATGTATTATAACGTTCACGTTGTTTTTACCGTTTCTGCACTTTTTAATTTTACCATCACTGAACGCTATATGTTAAGTGTACTAGCATGAAAACTGTTTAACGCAGAGGGGCGCCAAATGGAATTTCCCATCTAGTTGATATTATTATTAATTTGGCGTCGATGCGAGCAGGAGATGAACGAAGCCTCTCACGTATTGAATTACTAACCAATTCGAGTGCACCAAAGTCGAACCCCACATATGTGGGAAACGAAATCATATAGCGCAGCGATAGTGAGTGTGTGTAAGGTAAGAGCGCATAAGCTTTTACTTTTCATGACAGGTGCATGTGTGTATGTTTGTGTCGTACTCAAGGCTAAACCTCATTTATCACCATGGAATTTCGAGCTTGTGTGAGAGAGAGAGAGGTAGAGGAGCAATCAGAAATTCAGTGCATGTATGCTCGTCAACTCATTAGTTGTGAGACATCGCGCTAGAGTGGAGTGGAACTTTATAAGGTGAAGAGGTATTAGGGCATAAAGCGTCAAAGGCTGTTCATCGAAGTCGGCACGCCAATGTTAAAATGTCCAGAGGCAAAACTAATTCGAGAGATGCTAATGAAATTATACTCCAACAGATGTGTTCATGCGTACAATGCGCTGTGTCATGTCTGTCGGACACATTAAATTCTGAAACGCGACGATGTGAAGGGTCGTTGCGGCAGCGCGACGCGATTCACAGATGAAGTTGTTTGCCGTTGGTGTCTGAATGTTTCGAGCTTTCCCATGATTTTTCAGGCCAAACGGGGAGCGCT